TGGTGGAAACATCATTGTTTCCAAATAGCTGTTTCCTGCTTGGAATCGAGTTTCTGAGTTTCGAGTTTGGGGAATTTAAATTCTTTCTGTGGGACTGCAGGTTTCCATGAGTCCTGTGAAAAGCAGTACGGATGAAGCAGCTCGGATCCTGCATTTTGGGAAAGGCATCCTTTTCATCAGCAGAGCCTGAACCCTCTCGAGGTTCAGGAGAGGGGTTTGCAGGGAGTGATTGGGAACTGGTGAGCATGGGGATGTCTGGAAGTCAGCACAGAGGAGCTGGTGGCCTGAGGGTGTTGCCTGGCTGGGGAGTGTTTGGAGTGGGGCGAATAGTTGTCGTTCCCATGGGTTTTCCTCCCCCTTGTTTGGGAACTCAGGTTGCTGAAGTAAGAACTGTTGGAGGAATGGTCCCAGCAGAGGCTGTGGTGCTGTGACCCTACTCTGTGTCCTTCAGTGTCCTGCACAGCAGTGTCCACCTGGTCCTGTTGTTAAATGTTATGCCACTTTTAAATAACAACTGTTAATTATAGTGTTAAAAATCCCAAGTGCCAAGAATTAAAAATTCCAAGTGCCAACTCAAGAATGACATGTGCTCTCCATCTAGGAAATCTTGGCAGGATATCTACATTCCAATTCCACATAGAATCATAGAAACCCAGGATGGTTTGGGTTGGAAGGGACGTTAAAGCCCAGCTCATTCCACCTCCCACCGTGACCAGGGACACCTTCCACTAGCCCAGGTTGCTCCAAGCCCATCCAACCTGGCCTTGGACACTTCCAGGGATCCAGGGGCAGCCACAGCTTCTCTGGGCAACTTGTGCCAGGGCCTCCCCACCCTCCCAGCCAAGAATTTCTTCCCAATATCCAATCTAAGTCTACTCTCCTTCGGGTTCTCCTTCATCATATCTAACCTAAACCTCCTCTCTGTCAGTGGGAAGCCATTCCCCCTTGTCCTGTTCCTCCAGGCCCTTGTCCAACGTCCCTTTCCAGCTCTCCTGGAGCCCCTTTAGGCCCTGGAAGGGGCTCTCAGGTTTCCCTGGAGCCTTGTTTTCCCCCAGCTCTCTCAACCTGTCCCACAGGTGAGACGTCGTCTGCAGGCGGAACAATTCCCTGCTGTTGACGCGCCATCAGTTTTCTCCATGATCTCCCATTTAAATATGGATTCATCCTGAATTTCCCAGGCCTTACCTTGCTTAGCTTGTGGGAAGGGCTCTGCTCACACCCCACAGTGGGCTTCAGCAGGGTCCTCCCTGCCAGCTGTGCTGGAGAACAAGCGGCTGGTTGTGCCAAGCGGAGCGGCCACGATCCGAGGAGAATATTCCATTGTGTGTCCGAGTTGTGTCCTTGTGTCTCTGCAGAGGTAAAATTACATAATAACAGAGGCTGCAGTGAGTCACTGCTGCTCGTGGGCCTCGAGCAGCTCCCTGCTCCACGTTCCTGCTCAGCATGCCCCACATCCCATGATGGCAAACACGTGAGCAGCAAAAACGGCGTTTTCCCAATTCCGTGTTGTTTAGCATCAAGCCATTGATGACTAAACCAGATGAAAAGCTCTTTGTGTGGATGTTTTGTCACCTTTGGTCTAATTCTTTTTACCTCACTGTCTCCCTCTCAATGAAGTATTTTCTACCAATTCTGTCTGGGTTTTTTTCCCTGCTATCCAAGGATATTTCATTTTTGCCCTATTCCAGCGTCTCTTGCCAAGATTAATACTCCAGCTGCCTGGAAACTCTGAATTCCTTTGTTTTGTATTCATTCTTGTCCTCTTTGAGTGACTATACATCTTCTCTCCTATCTCTGTGTCTGATCTTTCACAATCATTTCCCACATATTTTAGCCAAACTTTTCTCACAGATACTTCTCTTCTTTCCATCTCTTTGCCACTATGTTATCAGCTCCCTGTCCATATTCAGCCCTTTCCTCTTCCAAATTCTATTTCCTCCCCTTTTTCTGTAGGTTAACCCTCGTTTCTTGCATGAATTCTTCATTTATTAGTTGCAAATCAAGGGATCATCTTTGCTGTCTCCCTCCACTACAGGCAGGATCATTCCAAGTCAATCCTGGTTGGTTCTTGTTCAGTGTTTTCTTCATTTTTTTTTTTTACCTGTGAGAATTTTCACAGCTTCCTATCCCTTCACATTCATTGCTGTGATATCATTCCAGTAGGAAAAGCTTTTCATCTGTACAGAGAATGTAGGTTAAGGCAATTTAAGCCCTCTGCTAAGTGTCCTGTTATAAAACTGGACACAGATTATCCCTTCTCCCCCTTTCCCTGCTGCCTTTTGTGTGCATGAAGGTTGTTATCTTTTCACTCACAGCCTTTTTCTTGCCCAAATCCCTGTATTTCCTTCAATTTTTCCTCATTAGTCATGGTTTCTAGAACTGGCTTGGCTGTTGCTCCACACTCAGAAGCCCCATCCATGTGCTATCCATGGGCAATTCCGGCTGCTGCCTGCAAGGTTTTGCTGTTACGGGGATGCTTTTTTTTTTTTTTTCACATGTGCCAGGATTCTGATGTTTCCAAAGGATTCTGTGATTTGAAGAGGCCATGGGGATTTGGCATTGGATCCTCTGAACCCGTGGACAGTTAGTTGAAGAGAGACAGAACCTTTTTTCTGTGTGGGATGAGAGGATTTGCCTTCAAAACTGCTTCGATTTGACTTCCTTGAAAATACTTGTGTGGTTTGAAAATGCCCCAGTTGTTACCTGTGAGAATTCCGACAGCTTCCCTTAGGAAGTTTGTTGGAGAAATGGGAGGAATGAATCCATCAGATTTAAACTCAAAGGGGTTTATAAAAAGGAGGGAGAGGGACTTTTTTTACAGGCAGGTAGTGACAGGACAAGAGGGACAAGGGATATTGGGAAGGAATTCCTGACTGTGAAGGGTGGGGAGGCCCTGGCACAGGTTGCCCAGAGAAGTTGTGGCTGCCCCTGGATCCCTGGAAGTGTCCCAGGCCAGGTTGGACAGGGCTTGGAACAACCTGGGCTAGTGGAAGGTGTCCCTGCCCATGGCAGGGGGTTGGAACTGGATGAGTTTTAAGGTCCCTTCCAACCCAAACCATTCCATTATTCTCTAAACTCAAAAATCCCTTGTTCATAGTGATAATTTATAAGCAGGACTTGTGAATTCAGGAAAAGTTGTAGCTGCAAGGTAACCCCTAAACCAAGCACAGTGTGAAACCTGTGCTAAATTTATAGAAGTTCTGTTGCCTTTTCTCTTTTTCATTATTTAAAAAAATACTACTGGTGTTTATAAAAAGCCTCTTGACATTTGAAACTCTTCTGCTAATGTTTTCCTGCCCCAGTGAAGTGTTTCTCCACATAATTCAACTTCAAGAAGCCCTTGAGGATTTACTGAAATGGGTCAGGGATGGATTCATGGAAGTGTGTTCCCTTCTACCTTCATATTTCATGGTTGTTTTCTTAAATAAAAGTCTGGCATTCACTGAGACATAAAGGTTTTGATCATTTCTGTTATTGGCATTTCTTTTGCCAGCAGCACCATTGCTCAGGGAAACTGCTTCAAAGCACAGAAAATATAAACATCTATTTTAAAAGAGGTTATTAAAAAATATTAGCTATGCTGTTACTTAAATAAACACAAGAAGAATTCAGTTTACAGCAGTGCTTGAGTCCTCTTGGACTTGTCAAAACCATCTAAATTAAAGGGAACAGGACAAAGCAGTTCATCTTTTCTGGGTTGGACATCCCTGACTTTAATAGTGTGAGAGAAATTTTACTTGGGAAACTTTAAACAGAAATAAAATACCCAAAGCAATTTCTTCCTTCGTGGCAGCTCCCACATCGTCTGTAACAGAATTTTATCTAAAATATAAAATCTTTAGTTAAATTCTAGTCTTTTGTGTCTTGCAAACTGTTACAGTTTTCAGGGAATGGTTTGGGTTGGAAGGGGCCTTAAAGCTCAGACAGTCTCATCCCCTGCCAGGGCAGGGACACCTTCCACCAACCCAGGTTGCTCCAAGCCCCATCCAGCCTGGCCTTGGACACTTCCAGGGATCCAGGGGCAGCCACAGCTCCTTTGGGCAACCTGTGCCAGGGCCTCACCACCCTCCCAGCCAGGAATTCCTTCCCAATATCCCACCTAAATCTCCCCTCCTTCAGCTTAAAGCCATTCCCCTTTGTCCAAAGGAAGAATAAAGGTAATAACATACAAAATATGGAGGCAGAGCTGCGGGGTTTGAGCTGTAGATTCTGTGGAGAACATCCCCTGCTATCCATTTAATATCTATATAAGCATATTGTTGTAACTATAAGTTGCACCTAAAACATTATTACTTCCTTTTCAGTAGATTTTTTTTTCCCCCCAGAGGATATTTAGGATGTACCAGCATGCTGGTGTAGGTGTCCTCATCCTAAACCACGCTCACAACCAGGCACAGTCCGTGCTGGGGACTCTGTGCTCCTGCTCTGAGTCAGCTGAGTGGGTGTCCAGGCCATCTGCTCCATCCCAGTGGTTTGGGAATTAAACACTTTTTAATAACAAGCCTGTGGAATGTGAGCTCTCCTACTTCCAGGCAGGAGGCTCTGGAATTAGGTTCCAGCAATCCTTCCTCTCGTTGTTGGGACCCTTGTGCTGAGAGCACCGTGGCCTGGTAAAGCTGGATCAGCTCCAGCTGGGACTCTCTGGTGGCTACACAGGGGCTGCTCCAAGGGGTTCCTCATGTGCTCCCATCCCTCCATGGGATCCCTTTTCTTCTTTCCCAACGCTCTCCGTGCGTGCCGAGCTGTCTGAACTGATGGATCGTGTTCAGGCCACCAGGCCAGCCCTTCTCTGTTGATCTTCAGGAAATATTTGTGCCTCATAAAAGGATGGAATAAAGGGTTCAGGCTGAGAGGGTGGTGGATGAAAGGCTGACGTGCTCAGAAGGGCTTAGCCACGATCCAGCCCAGTCCGTGTTTTTCCCGAGTTGCGTGCATCCCTCCAGACCTCTCCGAACGTTCAGCCCCTTGTGATGTAACCCTGGCTGCTTCCTGTTTTTCAGGGGATGACTTTTCACTGATACAGCAAGAAATATATATGGTCAAGGAATGCAAACATTGCAACATAGTCGCCTATTTCGGGAGCTATCTCAGGTAAATCCCGCTTTTTATTCCAACATTTCTCCTGGTTCTCTCCTAAACAACTCTCAGTGTGGTTTTAATCCTTGCCCCCTCTCTCAATGTTCTTCCATAGATTGAATTCCCTTCAGGCTTTTTTTAAAGCTGGCTTTGAAAACCAAAAGTGACTAATAGTTTGTTTTCTCTGCTGGCCAAAAGGCTGGAATATTTTTATCACTTAGGAACAGCGAGAAACTTTTCCCTTGGAGCCTCTTGCAATGTCCAACCCTACCCATACATTCATCAGTTCTAACATAAAACCATACAATATATTTCTCTAGAGCAGAATTGCTTCTGGATATTTTATTTAATTACAGTTTTCTGGGCTATGAAAGCACAGGCAGGGATTTTTAAGAGCAAAACACTCAATTTGAGGTGCTGGTAATAACGTTTTTCATAGTTCTGGTGTAACAGAGGCAGAACCAAGGTGGTGCCAACTGGCTGCATCCTCAAGCTTGCACGTTGTTATACAGAAAATCAGGGAATACTTTCCATTTCTGTGGAACTCTGCCATTTATCAGTTGGCTCTGTGGGAATATAAATCATCTTTGCCCACTTTTTGGTCTTTTTTCTGCAGCCTTTAGATTTCTTGAAGGGCTGCATTTGAATAATCTGTACATCCCAAATGGACTCAATAAATGGAATAAAATGGCTGAATTTCTAAACCCTCCTTTTAGAGAGCGTGAATTCTTTTAAATATAATTAGGCAATCTCAATTTAAGACTGAAACACTTTAGTGTGTTATCTTTTAATTTTGCTGGCAGCAGGTGAACGTCGGGGGGTTCTGCTCCATTTTACTGTAGAGTTAAAGCACCACCTTTTAGATCTGATAATATTTAAAGACTTCTCAGGGGTTCTGGCATAAAATTTTCATTTTGGTAGGTGAGAATTTATATTGATAACATGGTAATTTATATTAACAACATGGTAATTTATATTAATAAAGTGAGAATTTATATTAATAACAGTGTAACTGCTGATCAGGCCTCAGAATGTGCATTTTTAACAGAGAGTGATCAAGACCAATAGAAAATAATTTAAATAATGGTGATTATCTGTGTTCTGTATCCGGATCAATCAGCTTTTGATGCCTGTGTTTTCATTTTCCTTTGACAGCCGTGAGAAGCTGTGGATATGCATGGAATACTGCGGTGGGGGATCCCTCCAGGATATTTACCACGGTACTTTGGCATTTATTTCAGCATTTTTAACTTCTGGAAGCTTTCTGCAAAGAAAAAAATTAAATAATAAACTAACAGGGAATGGCCAGGCACTGCACTGGGGTTTTTTTGGGGCGTGAATAGTGATTTTTAGCTACCATTCAAGAGATTTTGAGAGCACTTTTCAGATGTGGTGACTCATTTTGGGCTAATACCTGTCATTTTGGAGCAGAACTGGATATTCAGCCACATTAGTACAAATAAAACAATTCCAAGCCCCACAGATAGTCCCTAAAATACAACATTGCCATTTCTAATATTAAAATATTAGCAGAAGTCACTTTGATTTTTACTCTCCTCAGAATACAGGATATTCCAGTACTACGAAGTCTCTTGTAAAATGATAATTAGATTTCTGTGAAAACAGGTTTTCTTCTCACTGTGGGCATTGTCTTCTGTTATGGTGCTGTTTGTTTGGTTGGTTTTATTTTTTACAGAAAGCCTTTCTGTAAAACAGGCAAACAAACCCCTCTGTTCAGCTCAGTGTAGAATCCAGATCCTGTAAAATCAGGCTTTAACTTCTGCATGGACATGGCACTTTTTGGCTGCTTCACAATGCTATTTGTGTGCTGTATATTAAATATAAATACATGTACTGCAAACTTACTCACTTCTGTCTTTATTTTCAGTGACAGGACCTCTGTCAGAGTTACAAATTGCATATGTGTGCAGAGAAACTTTACAGGTACTGTGCTTGTGCAGGTTTATGATGAAGTGTTTATTCCATGAAAGTAGATAAAGAAGTTTATTTCAGTTCCCAGAATTGTTGGGAATCAAGCAGAGACCAGTTAACCAGGGGTAACTTGTTACTTCTCATGCTGTAAATAAAAACTAGCAAGAAACTCTATTAAAGTAGTGCAAATATTTGCTTAAATTTTGAACTTCATGGTTGCCCTATGGTAGTAAATTTAATGATGTATAGAGGGAAAATACTACAACCAGGTAAATAAAATTGTCTTTTGTGACTGCTGATAACTGGAGGAAGACAAGGCAGGTTGTTTCTTCAAGGAACCTTCAGGACTTCAAAAATAGAATTTTAGTAAAGGTTTATTTAAAAAACCCAAACCTGTATCTGTGTAAAATGTTACACCATGACTGGTTTAAGTGAGGCTTCACGTGTTGGTTGGAGATGAGGAACAGAATCCAGGGTGCCCCTTATCTGCAAATCTCAAATGTCTCCACTTCCAGATAAAATATACTTATATATATGTATATAATATATATAAAATATATAGTATATATTATAATGTATATATTATATAATATGTATTAAAATTTCTTAAATGAGACTGGTTTTGTGTGTTAACAAATGCCAAAATAACCTGTTGTGTCTCTTTATTTCCAGGGTCTTGCTTATTTGCATATGAAGGGCAAAATGCACAGAGACATAAAGGTAACTTGGGACTTTGAGACACTTAAAACTTTCTAGTGCAGGACAAATATTCCTGAAAAAGATCTGTAACTTTCTGTTTGTTGTGTTCTAGGGTGCAAATATTCTCCTGACAGACCATGGGGATGTCAAATTAGGTGAGTTGCTGGAATTTTATGGTATGGATTTCAAAGCCGTGTGGATGTGGCACTTGGGGATGTGGGTCAGTGGTGGCCTTGGCAGTGCTGGGGGGAGGGTTGGCCTCGATGATTTAAAGGTCTTTTCCAACCTAAATGATTCCATGATTATTTGGGGCAATAAATGATGATGGGAAGTGATGACAGGAAGTGTGTATCCATGAAAACTGCCACGGGGTGCTCATCATCCCGCTGCGTCCCGTGTTGGAACTGGGGTGGTTGTGCATTAGTTCAACACCTTTACACCCCTTTGGTGAGCCAGGAATGCTGTGTTGGGAAAAGGCAGCTTTTTAAAGGTGGAAAAAAGTAGGAATAAAACCTTGGCACCGACAGGAGATTTCACTGCATGAATTAAACTTGGGTTACACGCTGGTACCTCCCTTTGGCCTGCTGAGCTGGTTAGATATTCCCACAGTTATCCTGCAGATTTCATGCTACAAATCAATCAGAATAAAAAGGATTTAAATGATCTTTGGCTCTGCAAGACCTCCTGATGTTCTGCAGCTCTGAAGGCGAGGTATTATTGGCCCCTAGACAGAGTGTCCAGGGCTGAGAAGAGATTGCCCATCACAGTTCCTCCATAGGAACACACAAAAGGTACCTTTCCCAAAGCATGATGCCATTTTCCCTCTTAAACTGAATATCCACAAATTTTGGATGATATTATGAGATGGAAAAATGGTCTAGGAGAGGAACAGGGTCACGAGTGAGCTGTATGTAGAAAGAAAACTGATTTGAAATCATGTCAGTGAAGACATTAATGATCTCATTATTAGTCTTTAACTGTTTACCTTAATGAATTTTTAATTTGGATGAGAAACATGATTGTTCTTTCATGTACAGTAGAATTGGGGTCTTAAACTGAGATTTCTAAGTCTCTGATGGTTTTATTTTCCAGCTGACTTTGGGGTAGCAGCAAAAATAACAGCCACCATTGCGAAGAGGAAATCCTTTATTGGCACCCCTTACTGGTAACACACCACTTTGACTGTTGTGATGCAAAGCTGAGTTTGTATTTATGCCAAAAATTATAAAATACTCACACATATACCCAGTAATTGCATAAATTCCCTTTCTTCCAAGTAAAATGCCCAGAGGGCAAAAATCTGGGAAGCGCTGATTGGAGCTGATCTGTTGCTACCTGATGTTTGAGGCAGGATTGCTGTTTTTCCCAAGTTTATTAATGCAGAATATTCTCCCTTTTTTCTAATGGTTATTTAGTTTCTCACTTGTTTTATTCTCTTTCTTATTTACACTTCCAATGAGTAAAATAATCAGTGTCTTCCTGATTTCTGTGCAGACAGAAAAACAGATTTTCCAACTATCTCTTAATCATCTCTACTGATTAATGCCTGCACAAGGCAGCATTTAATATGCAAACAGATCATTGTAAATCTGGGGCTGGGTTATAAATGCAAATTTAACTGGGTTTTGCCATCACTGGGATGCAGTGGAGGAGGCTGGGGGTGTGTTCTTGTTCTGCAAACAGCTTCATCCAGACAATGGCTTTGAATTGTTCTGCTGCCGTCGTTGTCCTGTTGGGGAAGAGAAGACTGTGGCCAGGAAGATTATCTGGTTGTTAAAGCCTTTCACCAGGAATGATGGGCCTGGTTCTATTCCTGGTGTTGCCTGGCAGCCCATGACCTCGGGCAAGACATCCCTGTGCTTCCCAAAACCTCTCTGTGCTTCCCAGGACATCGGGCTCTTCCCTCACTTACTCTTGGGAATGAGGGGTTGTGCTCAGAGGGCCTGGTGCTTCCCGTGGGCATCGGGCTCTTCCTTGACCTACTCTTGGGAATGAGGGGTTGTGTTCAGAGGGCCTGGAGCTCTCAGTGAGGGTGCCCTTGTTTTTTTTAGGATGGCCCCCGAGGTGGCAGCAGTGGAGAAGAACGGGGGGTACAACCAGCTGTGCGACATCTGGGCTGTGGGGATCACGGCCATCGAGCTGGCAGAGCTCCAGCCACCCATGTTCGACCTCCACCCCATGAGGTTTGAGACCTGGGGGGGGCTTTTTTGTCTCCAGGACCCTCTTCAATCCCAGCAGGAACTGCTGGGATTCAGTTTAACCTTCCCTGTAGCTCAAGGGCTGGAAACTCACTCTGGGATTCCTTCGTCAAACGTCTCCCTCCTGTGTGAGCCCTGCCTGGTTTTAAGGGATCAGTCTGGAGCTAAAAATCTTACATTTAGAATTGAAATTATAACAAAAAGTTCTAAATTTTCAACATTTTAGTGTCACCTGGGCTAGTGGAAGGTGTCCCTGCCCATGGCAGGGGGTTGGAATGAAATGGGCTTTAAGGTCCCTTCCAGCCCAAAACATTTTGGGATTCCATGATCCAGAATCTGATTAAGAACAGGCACAGATTTACTAGTGATAGTAAACCACTGGAGAAGCTGTAGCCTGAAGATTAGCAGGATTATGGCACTAAAAAGATTTTATTTAAAGATAAGAAAATCAACAGCTTCACTGTATCTGTCTTTTAACACAGCATAGACTATAATTCATTTTCACCAGTATGTTTCTCACCATAAAATATTGAAGCGTTTAGATACTAGGATGAAATGAATTATTTTCTTTACCATATAATAACCTCGTTCTTTTTTTACCTCCAGGGCTCTGTTTTTAATGTCAAAAAGTAATTTTCAGCCGCCAAAGCTAAAGGAAAAAGCAAAATGGTAAGTGGAACTCTTTCCTTTGTTCAGTATTTTGTTGGAACAAGATGATCTCTAAGGTCCCTCCCAACCCAAACCATTCTGTGATTCTATGATTTTGCAGATAATGGGAAAAAACTATTTGTCACTAGTGAAGAAGGAGCCCTTCTTTGGGGCTCTTTGTATGTTCTAGGAAGGAAAATCATTTTTATCCTTTCTCCTTAATTCCTGTCAGGGCATTTGCCTGATAGGAATGGTTTCCTCCTTTCGTGGTTTCTTTAGCCTGTGATAAATTCCTGGTGCTATGCTCGGTTTATTTTCTGTGCCAAAATGTTTTCCATGCAAGCTCCCTGAATCAAATGAGTTTTTTCCTAAATTGTCAGTTTGGAAATGTAATTATTCAAACCTGAAATGAAGTACCTGGACAACTTTCTAATTTATCACACCCTTTTGTGATCTGTTTAGTTAGTGTCTTAAAATCAATAATATTGAAAAATTAAACATAACTTCTCATTTTTCTTTTAAGGTCAGCAACATTCCATAATTTTGTCAAAATAGCACTTACAAAAAATCCAAAGAAGAGGCCAACAGCAGACAGACTCCTCTCTGTAAGTGATCTGGGACATTTAGTGACAGCAGGAGGAGATATCTTGCTTCAAAGTGAGCAGCAGATCAATAGGAAACCCAACTGGAACCATTTTCTTTAATTTTAAAACGTGGGTGGGGAAATCTAAAGGGAGGGAGGTGTTGGTCATCTGTAAGGGAGTGGCAGGATTTTGTTCAGTGGAGGATTTTTGGAAGGAACAAGTACAGAAATGTGCTTCAGGTGGGTGTCTCAGCCTTGTGGGTGTGTGGGCATTGACCCTTCCTGTCACCCAAAAATTTAGTTGTTCATGGGTCTCTGCTTTCCTAAACTTGACTGTAAAAAATGAAGTTAAAGTGTAATTATTTGTTCTTCTCAGAGCTTAATTTCCAGTTTACAAGAGGCCCAGAGTGTGGTGTTTATGGAGGGGTTGGAAGGTCCAGCCATTAATGAGTTATTAAAATAATAGTTGAGCCTCCAGAAAGCAGAAAAAAAATCAGTAACATTCTACATTTGATGTCTGCTAATGAAAGTTACCTGTTAATTGCATATTCCAACCTTCTTTTGTGTTCTTTTCTGTGGTTCCAGCATAGCTTTGTGGGGCAGCCTGGTCTGTCAAGGTCTTTGGCAGTTGAGCTGCTGGACAAAGTCAACAACCCCGACAACCACACACACTACAGCGAAGTCGACGATGATGATTTTGAGGTGAGAACATCCCCTTTTTGAGGTAAAACTCCACTTGAAATGCCCTGCTTTGCTTTGTGGAAGGTGAGATTGCAGCTTGAACAGTGTGTGGCTGCAACAGCTGCTCCTCCTCCTCCTCCTCCTCCTCCTCGTGCGTTCGGTTGTCGGTGGAGATCCAAAAGCGTTTCCAACTCTTCTCCCCTCTCCCATTCCCAGCCTCACTCCGTCATCCGCCACACCATCCGCTCCACCAACAGGAACATCAGGGCAGAGAGAACAGCGTCAGAGATAAACTGTGAGTTCCTGGGGGGCTTTGCCCCTTTTTTTGGGGGGATGTCTGGTTTTGGGGGGGATCCTTCTGGAGGACAGCGGCGGCGTCCTTCTGTTGTGCGCTCTGCAAAACCTCTTCCCATGTGGAAAACAAACCCAGGAGAAACAGCTTCCTGCGTGTGAATCTTCAATCATAACTTTTCAACCCCCAAATTAATACTAATGCACTTAACTTAAGTTGAAATTTTGATGGTAGAACTGGGTTTCCTCCAGGTTTGGACAGAAGTCTTTTGTGGCTCCTCTGCATCACGTCCATCACACTTCTGGGAGACTTGCTGTTTCTTTCTTCTCTTTCACATGCATTTAAAAGTGGCACGTGGTTAAAATATTTACATTTGAGTGTGCCTTCATACAGTGAGTTGGTATTTACCTTTGGGCTTTCTTGTGGGTTTTGTGTGTGCAGATTTAAGCATTCAGACAACAAGGCTGATGTTTTACGGGCAAATTAAATGTTGTGTACACAGTACTTAGATCTGTTACAACATGCATTTCACTGTAGTAAGCACTGAAGGAGCCCTAGTGCAATATTGTGTGTATTAATTATGAAAATGTAATGCTTTGCAGTTGATAAGCTGCAATTTGAGCCCCCTCTTCGGAAAGAAACAGAAGCTCGGGATGAAATGGTAAGAAGTTTATTTTTAACTTAATTTATTAAAATCACACTGTCTTCACTGTGTATAGTTCAAGTCTTAAGCAGCTTGCTGGAAAAATGTCTTTTAAGTTCCCTAAGTTCCCTGTTTTAGGTTCCCTAAGTGATCCTTACTGAGTTTTCACCATAAATTTTTGCTTTCCTGTTACTCGATCCTGACATTCCACCATTTCCAGCTGCTGCTTTGAAGTCTTAAGAAGAAGAAAAATTGCTTTAGAGACTGTAAAATGTTGTCTCACTTTGGAATTTGATTTTACTGCTTCTGGATCGTTCTGCAGGGCTGGGGAATCTCCCAGGCCTTTTTGTTTGTGGTGGATAAGGTACTTTAGTTTGACGAGGGGGGTTAAAAAATGACAATTTCTGCGTCTCCAGGTTGTGGCAGCTGGCAGTGACTTTGCTTCACACTGGAATCCTTTTGTTGATGGTGGAAGCAGCAAGTAAGTACAGATAAAACCAGCTTTTATTTCTGTCACTTAATGTGAAATTACACTGAAATTGTGGTGGAAAAATCAAACCATAAGCCCTGATGGACTTTAATATTCATGAATTAAGGAGATGTTACCCAGTGTGAAGTTCTCCTTCTGCAGATGGTTGGTCAGTTCTCTTGGAGGATGAGTTTTAATCTCTTTTAAGCACCAACAGAAGCTTGTTTGAAGTTTGTAGGTGGCAAGTGAAGTGTAAATGCAGGAGCAGGACTCTGACATAACACAGCCACAGCTGATTTGCTGAGGCAGAGCTGGTGACCTTGCAAAGGGCTGAGTTCAGGATCCTGCTCTGGCCTCACACTTCTCTTCTGAGCCCTGGCTGTGGTTGTGACATCCTGTGACAAGGCCTGTTCACAGCCCTAAGCTCGAGAAAGGGAAGGAGAGGCCAGCTCTGAAGGTTTAGTTCTACCAACAGTCCAACTGCGCAGCTCCTCCTGCTCTGGGGGTGTGATCAGTGGGGTCTGTAATTCACTCACGGGGTGTTTTGGGGTGAAGTGTTTTAGGCAAAGATGTGCTGTGGCTGATCTCCCCCTGGATAAAGCAGGTCTGAAGTACAGGAGCACAACTCTGTCCAAGTTGGGATTGAGTTTATTATGAATGTACCTTCCTTCACTCCCTGGGTTTGCAGTGAGGAGTGTGGAAGTTCAGTGATGCCAGGTGATGCACAGGCATAGGGAAGGGTGCTGTTTGGGCTGAAATAATTGCTCAGCTAAAAGAGCCTGTTTCCCATCTTTATTTGGAGCTGAGCAGCAGACAGTGGATTTCTTTGGCTTGTTTTTTTGCAGATAAAGTCTTGCATAAGCTGTCAGCTGACACTACAGCCCCCTGGAAAGCTCATGGGGGTGTGGAGTGTGCCAGGATTTGAGTCTTTTGAAGTTCGACCTGGTTTTTTGTTCTCAGTCTGGTTGTAGGAGGCATTTGGGGGGCTCTGGGCTCTGCCTCTCCCTGCCCAGGGAAGCCAGGGACTCTTTTCCTCCCCTTCCTCCCTCTCTGGGGTTGTTTGTGTGACCCTGATGAGCTGAAGCCTGGATTTTCTGCAGACAGCTGGAATTTGCAGGGTCGAGGAGCAGGGAGGGAGGGAGGGAAGCTCCCCCTGGCAGAGGGACTCAGTGACTTGATTCTGTTCCTGTGGCTTTGCCTGTGCCAGGCTGTGTTAAAGCACAATAACTGTGGCCATAGCAAACCTTTCCAGGGCTATAAATGAGTACATGGACACGGATCCAGCGTTGGGAGGAGGACAGGCAGGACAGTTCTGGATGGTGAATCCGTGCTGCTTACTTGGAAACCACTTCCAACTGGAAAGATAAACAGGAAATGCATAACTCCTCTGTCCCAGCAACTCTGAGTAATCCCAGGGATGTCCAGAGAGGATGTTTGCTGGGGGGGGGGTCCTTGCTTTTCATGCCCTTTGGCTTTTATGGAGTGAGTGGTGATTGATCTTCAGCTCAGGAATTACTTGACTGGAAAGGGGGAATACCAGGATGTTTTACCTGCTGCTCAAACTTATTCCTTGTTTTTCTCAATGTGGCATTTTAAAATTCTTTTTTTTTTTGTATAAATTTTTTGCATTATGGAGGTGGTTTTTATTTAGGATTTTCATAAAATCCCAGAATGGCTTGGGTTGGAAGGGATCTTAAATCCCATTTCATCCCAGCCCTTTCCACTATCCCAGGTTGCTCCAAACCCTGTCAAACCTGGAACATTTACAGGGAAGGGGCAGCCACAGCTTCTCTGGGCAACAAGAACCTTTCAAAATGAAAGACTTTTTCTCTTTTAAATTTTTTAGTAGTTCCTGTTGGCAGTTTCTGCTTTCCCTCAGAGGTGACTTGCAGGGAAATTTTACATTAATCCAAACTTTGCTGGGTTTTCTTGGTCGTCACCCTTTAAAGACCCGACTTGAAAATTGCCATTTTGCAAAATTTTATCAGTTTTTTTGTTGGTTTCAGGGTTATATTTTCAGTGCTGCTTTGATCCTCTAGTCACAATTCCTTTTTTCTGCTGTCCCTGGGGTAGCTTTGAAACAAAAATTCCCACTGTAGTGGGAAACAGTCTGTGTCTTTTGTATATATATATATATATATGGAAACTTCCCTTTAAAAGGCTTTTCTCCATTTGTCTCCCAGTAACTTCCTCTGTTGTTTTTTTCTTCTTTTGTGTTGTGCTGTTGTTAGACATGTCAATAATATTTAAAGTAGCAGGTAGGGAAAAGAAAGCTGATGGTGTCTGGTGTGGAGGAGAGATCCAGCAATTTTTGGGGGGTGAGGGGAAGGAAAGGACCAAACTGAATGGAAAAAGGGCTGAATAAGAGAAATGTTTGTTTTGGAAAGGGCTGTTGTGAAACTCAGTGGCATCAGGGATGGGTTTAGTTGCACCTTAGAGCAGAGCTCTTAATTGTATAAATATTTTACCTTAGGGGACTGCTCACAAAATTTGGCGATGGGAGTGAAGATGTTGAAGAGTGAGTGGATCTCCTTCCTGCACAGTTGTGTTTGCTCCAAAATCTCTCCCCTCAAAATGCTGCAGCAGCTTTGCCACTCACCATTAACTGAGGGCTGGCTGCTCTCCAAGCTTCACTCCTTCCCTGATCCTCAGGGGAATGTCCAAAGCCACGCTTTCCCTCCTTGCTCTCCTTCCTGAAGTTATCTTAGAGTCCATATGGAAGTGCCTGATACTCTAAAGCAGATTTTATGTTGATTAATCCATCAGCCATGAGCCAGGCCTGGCTGGGACAGGACGTGCAGATAATCCTGCAGAGCTCTGGTGCAGCTCCTCTGGTGCCCAAAGGTTTGTCTGATTCAGAGTGAAGGCTGCAAACTGGAATCTCAGCATTCCAAAATGGTTTGGATTGGAAGGGACCTTGAAGCTCATCCAGTGCCACCCCCTGCCATGGGCAGGGACACCTTCCACCAGCCCAGGTTGCTCCAAGCCCCATCCAACCTGGCCTGGAACACTTCCAGGGATCCAGGGGCAGCCACAGCTTCTCTGGGCAACCTGTGCCAGGGCCTCACCACCCTCACAGACAAAAATTCTTTCCCAAATTTTCCCATCTATCCCTGCCCTCTGGCAGTGGGAATCCATTCCCCCTTGTCCTGTCCCTCCATCCCTTGTCCAAAGTTCCTCTCTAGCCTGAGATCCAGTTTCTGAATGTATATTTATTTACTAACTCCAAATCTCCTTCCCCACAGAATGCTCTGTAACAAGTAACATTGGCATTTATGAAAGAACATGAGTTTAACCCAAACCAACACTTCTAATGAGATTAATGTGCTTTTCCCCTGCTCTTGGACCTCCAGTTTAACCCCGTGTGTGCAAAGCTCTGATCTGCCTCTTCTTTGCCTCTAGTTGATCTTATTTCCAGTCTGTCTTCTCAAGTACTTCTGGTTTTCATTCTGGTTTTGGTTTAACTGAGCCAACAGCTGCCCTTTCCATTGCAGGTCGACACTAAAGCGAGCGGGGCCACCTCCGCTGCCTCCCAAGGTAAGAGGTGTGGGATTTAAGGGGTTTAGGCAGCAAACTCTAAAACTTGGGCAGCCTGGGATGGCCTCCTGTTCTGCAATTCTGCCTCTGATTTTCCATCAGGGAGGAACACCTCTGAAATTATTCTGCTGTCAATTGTCTTTATTTTATAGAATCACAGAATGTGCCGAATTGGAAGGGATCAACAAGGATCATCCAATCCAACCCCTGGCCCTGCACAGGACACCCCAACAATCCCACTCTGTCCCTGAGAGAGTTGTCCAAACACTCCTGGAGCTCTGGCAGCCTTGGGGCCGTGCCCACTGCCCTGGGGAGCCTGGGCAGTGCCAACCACCCTCTGGGGGAAGAACCTTTCCCTAAAATTTAACCTAAACCTCCCCTGACACAGCTCCAACCACTCCCTCAGGTCCTGTCACTGAACACCAGAGAGCTTTTGTGATGCCCAAAAGTTTCAAAGGCTGATATTTTTTTTAATGTAGAAAGTCTGACTTGAATGAAACTTGCCTGAAGTTTGTGCTTCCCAGGTGCCATTCCCAATTCCTTGTATTTCCCAAGTAACCATCACCTCTGGTTTCTTGCAGCCAAGAATAAACAGTTATCCCGAGGAAAACCTCCCGGATGATGAGAGATGCCAGACAATAAAACATTTCCCAGACTCACAGAACAGAGCCCCACCAGCCCACAGGAGACAGAGTATCCCAGTTTGTGGGCCTCAGGCTGATTCCAGCCCCATTGGAATGACCAGCAGCATCAGCAGCCCTGGATTGCTCACAGCCAGATACAGCGACCTGGGTAAATACCTGACCTTTCCTGAAGGTGGCTGGCATCCTGGAGAAGGAATTGCTTCCAGAGCCAGCTGTTTTCAGAGATAATTTTTTAACACAACTGATCGTGAGGGGCAGCTTTCCTTTTTCCCTGTGTGCTGGTTCTTATTGGAGCCGTGACACATGGTGGGAATGTTCTTCCCGAAACAAGGACCCTGAGCCAGCCAATCCCATTAATGTGTGGCCTGCAGGAACAGGAGAAAAACAATGAATACCACAGCTTTATTCTCAGTGGAATTTGGCCCAGGGACTGTTTGGATAATGGAAAGTGTGTAACTTAGCACGGACAAGAGCAGCCAGTTGTCCTGGGAAGGTTTCAGCTGCCTGGGATGTGGATATGGAAGTGTCAGAGCTCACTTCTCCACTCCTGCTGGGGACAGGGGAGAAGAGATTTGCTGTTCACTGGGTCAAATAAGCTACAAAAGGTGTCTGGGCTTCTCTGCAGGCAATGGGAATGGGATGCTGAAACTCATCGAGGAAAACGTGGAAGGATCCGGACAAATCCCTCAGCTCCCACGGAAAAAGGAGAAAAGAGATTTCCCTGTAGGTATTGTGGCTCTGGGGCTGATCTCACTGTGTCAACAAGATGGTTTTGTGTCAGAGTGTGGGAGGTGTTTTATGATCTTTGTTTCTTCCCACAGAAACCAGCCATCAATGGTTTGCCTCCGACCCCGAAGGTGCTGGTAAGAAATCCCGTTTGCACTGGGAGTTATCAGAACCTCCTCTCTCCAGTGTCAGAAGGTTTTTGCTGGAATAAGGCACCAGCTCATATGGGGGGATTTTCTGCACCTCACAGCCAGTTATTTCTCCTGTGCTCAACACACAATATCTGTTCCCTCTTTTTAAAACCTTTCCTGTCACTATTCAGTCTGGATGTGGAGGGTTGGAGGCTTCCCTGGTTCCCTGAGTCGTGATCTCTGCTTAGGAAGAGAAATGGGAAAAGGTGGTGGTGATGGGAGGGCGTCACTGCTTCAATTCCTGCTTGTTTTCCCTTCATTGTGCCATTTATTTAAGCATTTAATATTCATAAGTACAATTATAGAATAATTTAGGTTGGAAAAGCCCTTTAAGATTGAATCCAACTATTCCCAGCACTGCCAAGGCCACCACTAACCCACGTCCCCAAGTGCCACATCCACATGGTCTTCCAGTCCCTCCAGGGTATATTGTTCTCACCCAATAGGTACTTGAAGTTGTTGATATAATTTTGACCCCTTTTTAACATTTCTTAATGTGTTTGAAGTCTACAAAAAGCTTTGGAAGGCTGTAGCTTTTGGGGAAGGTCCCAGTGTTTTGCATCCAAGCATTTTAGGGGAAGTCTGTGTGTGGAAAGGGAGAGCAGTGGTGTCTGCAGGTGTGTGTGAGTGGCCAGGTGCCAGAAAATAAACTCCTTATGCTCTAAATTCGTTTCAGGTTTCAGTTTTGGTGTCTTTCAGATGGGAGCCTGTTTTTCCAAAGTCTTCGATGGTTGTCCTTTGAAGATCAACTGTGCAACATCGTGGATACATCCAGATACTAAAGGTGAAGTTATTTTAGGATTGTGTTTGAAACCTGCCTGTTGTGTTGCCAAAGCTTGGGAAGTAATCAATTTGTAAAGTTATTTTAGGTTTGTCTTTTAAACCTGGTGATGGGCTTAGGAAATAATCCATTTCTCTCCACCTTTCAGACCAGTACATCATCTTTGGCACAGAAGAAGGGATCTATACTTTGAATTTGAATGAACTTCACGAGGCAACAATGGAACAGGTGAGTTTTGGGGGACTGAACGCACAGAACAGATTTGGGGATATTATGGAGCAATGAAGTTTGGCATTGGAAGGAAAAGGCTCTGTGGATTAAACTGATTCACATCAAAGCCAGCAAGGGAAGTCTGAAAATTAATAGTTCCTCGACCTACCTGAATTTATTGTTGCTGCCAGATCTTCCCTCTCCTTGGAGAACTGATTCCCTGCCCTTTCTCCCTCCACCCCATCCCCACTAGATGGCACATTGCAGCTCCTCTGGATGCTACCAAAGCCCTCACCCATTCACTTCAGCTGCAGTTGTTATCCCCAGTAAACTTTTCCTGGGCTCTCTGACCCTTTCCAAAGCCACTTCATCTATTCATGGGGTTAAATTTTCTTCTTTAGGGTCAGGAGTAGCAGGATGTTCTTGGAATCTCTTTCCATATATGCTTTCCTAATTTATTTTACCTAACAGTCTTCTCTGGGCTCTTCCACATGCTTTTTTATATCACCTTGAAAGGTTTTGGCTGTGCCAGTGGTGGGTAGGGAGGCCATTCAGTGCATGCCAAAATGAAAGTTTCCTTTTCCATGAGAGCATTCCCAGCTGGCAGAGCTCAGGTGTGACCACCTCAGATCCCAGAGGCTCCTGCCACACCACTTGTTTCCACATTTTCATTTATTGATTTTATTTTCTCCCCTCCAAATGCACATTTTGAACTGCTTATCCAACTTCTAATTGTAATGGAATCCTCCAAAGTGCTTGGCTGTCTCTCCAAAGTTAATATCTCCCAATTCCAGAAGTATATTTTTATTCCATTTTTAGTTTTTCAGTGAAAATACTGAATAGACCCAGACCTATTCTATTAAATAGCAAATTGCTGAGAGATACTTTGAGTTTATGTCCAGCCAGTTGTACCTTTTATTTCTGAGATTCTTCTACCACATATTTTCTTATTTTGCTTGTGGAAGTGGCACAGAGGACAAAGTCTGTGTTATGGAATCATATCACAGAATCATGGAATGGTTTGGGTTGGGAAGAATTTGGAAGATCATCTCATTCCAATTCCTGCCATGGGCAGGGACACCTCCCACTAGCCCAGGTTGCTCCAAGCCCCATCCAGCCTTGCCTTGGACACTTCCAGGGATCCAGAGGCAGCCACAGCTTCTCTGGGCAAACCTGTGCCAAGGGCCTCCCCACCCTCACAGCCAAGAATTCTTTCCCAGTATCCCATCTATTCCTGCCCTCTGGCAGTGGGAAGCCATTCCCTGTGTCCTGTCCCTCCATCCCTTGTCCCAAGTCCCTCTCCAGCTCTCCTGGAGCCCCTTTAGGCACTGGCAGGGGCCTTTTTTCCTTTCAAAACAGCTTAAGTCCTTTTTTTCTTATCAGAAATTTCTACAACAAAAAACCTCTGCCCTTCTCTTGTCATCCTTACCCCTTCTTCTATGGGACTCCTGAAGGCCATTGTTTGCCATCACTTTTATCAAAATTCCCTTTTCAAGTGTTTGTTCTTAACTTTAAAGTCTCCTCAAATCCAGAGCAGCTGCTCTGTAACTTCTTCCCACTGGGACAAAATTCAGTCCCAATCTTCCACAGTCTGTCTGTGCACAGAGCAGCCTCTTAACACAGACAGCCAGGCAGGTACATCCCAAAAAACACAGAGGGTCCAAAACAGGCAATTAAAGGGAAGCTGGGACTTTCTCCAGTGTGGATCCCTGCAGGAATGGTGGTGGAGGTGGAGCAGGCAGAGAAGTGATGGTTGGAAATTCCTGTGTGTTTCTATTAATGGAAATGTTTTCTTTTATCAGTTATTTCCCCGAAAATGCACCTGGCTGTATGTTATCAACAACACCTTGATGTCCTTGTCAGGTAGGTATAAAAGAGAGGGGAAACCATTAAAATTATAAATAAAGGGCAATTATAAATAAATAAAGTCATGATTCAGGACGATGTTGTTTGATCAACCTGGAGAAGAGAAGGTTCCAGGGAGACCTCAGAGCCCCTTCCAGGGCCTAAAGGGGCTCCAGGAGAGCTGGAGAGGGACTGAGGACAAGGGATGGAGGGACAGGACACAGGGAATGGCTTCCCACTGCCAGAGGGCAGGAATAGGTGGGATATTGGAAAGAATTCTTGTCTGTGAGGGTGGTGAGGCCCTGGCACAGGTTGCCCAGAGAAGCTGTGGCTGCCCCTGGATCCCTGGAAGTGTCCAAGGCCAGGTTGGATGGGGCTTGGAGCAACCTGGGCTAGTGGAAGGTGTCCCTGCCCATGGCAGAGAGTTGGGACTGGATGATCTTTAATGTCCCTTCCAAACCAAACCATCCTGGGATTCTAAAACAAAATCTGTGTAAATTTGAAGGAGGTGAAGTGACTGTGAAGTGCTGCTGATCCAGCAATGTTGCTGCTTGGAAATACTGATTCTCGGACAATCAGTTGTCCTGGAATGGGATATTCCAAATAGGAAACAGGCACTGTGGAGTGGAGACTGATTATAGGGCTGTGCCTTTAAAACAACATTGATTTATAGATAAAGAAAATATCCTGATATCAATTGTTGTATAATTACAGCCTTCTAAAAATGTTTATGTAAATCTGACTTTACTGAAATGAGCTCTAAGTTCAGTATTCATTCTCTATTCATTATTATTGTTGCCTTCTTTTATTTTCTTCATACCTGGACTTGGCCTCCCTGCTGCTCGTGCTCCACGTTTCCAGAAGGTAATTTTCCCTACCTACCTTTCCCTAAATGGTGCAGTTCTCCACTGGAGGGGTGGCTGTTGATGTGGACTGTGCTTTTCTCTCTTCCAGGGAAAACGTTCCAGCTCTACTCCCATAATTTAATAGCTTTGTTTGAACAAGCCAAAAAAACAGGATTAGCTGCTCATATTCAAACCCACAGATTTCCTGACAAAATATTACCAAGGTACAAACCTCTCGTTTATAGACAGTTATTAATAAGTGAAAATAACCATAAATGCTGTTGGTGCTGTTGAGTTTGGTGCATGAAGGGCCTTGACATCTCTTGCTGATGAACTTTTTTTGGTGATTATTATTCCAGGAAATTTGCCTTAACGACCAAGATCCCTGACACAAAAGGATGCCACAAATGCTGTATAGGTGAGCAGATGTTCAGCTTTGCTGTTTATTTTCCTGGCCATGGCATGTCTGAATAATAAACTTAGTTCTTTGTTCAGAAAAAAGGCCGAGTTGGGATTGTTCAGCCTGGAGAAAAGAAGGATCTACAGAGATCTCAGAGCCCCTTCAAGGGCCTAAAGGGGCTCCAGGAGAGCTGGAGAGGGACTTTGGAGAAGGGCCTGGAGGGACAGGACAACCAGGAATGGCTTCCCACTGCCAGAGGGCAGGGTTAGATGGGATTTTGGGAAGGAATTGTTGGCTGTGAGGGTGGGGAGGCCCTGGCACAGGTTTGCCCAGAGAAGCTGTGGCTGCCCCTGGATCCCTGGAAGTGTCCAAGGCCAGGTCTTATATATAATTTTAGATTAATTTAGTTTGGAAAAGGCCCTTAAGATCACCAGGCCAAACCATTCCCTCAGCACTGCCCAGCCCACCACTGACCCGTGTCCCCAAATGCCACATCTTCCAGTTGTACCTTCACACCCCTAAAAATTAATATAAGGTACTTCTTTGCCACTTGGAGATCCTGTTTAGCTCATATAAAGTGTCCACAACACATTTGCAAGTGATTCCTCAAGTCACCCTTGTCCTGTATCCAACTGAGCTTAAAAAAACTCCCCCAAACCAGTCAGAGCCCCCCAGGAGTCATGAGCTTCCCATTTTTTCTGCCTGGGAATTGTTTGGTTTCAATCCCAGCTCACCCAGCCCCACGGAGAGGAGTCACAGCTTTTCTGCCCACTCAGTGTGTGGGCTCTGAGCTGGGACTCCGAGGATGCTGCTGGTTATTAATTACAGTGGAATTCATCTGGAGTGTAGCACAATGTTAATCACTGTGGATATTGGAATGGCAACTAGTGGGAAACTGGTGGAATGAGATGATCTTTAAGGCCCCTTCCGACCCTAATCATTCTTTGATATGTTTTTATAATGCTATTTCTTAACTTATTTGCAAAGGTACCTGTGTAGAGTTTTTTTCTAACTATGCATTGAACTTCCAGGACTTCAAAATTACTGTTTTCAGGGGGTTTTTTTGTTTGTTTTATTTTTTACAGTACGAAATCCATACACAGGCCATAAGTACCTTTGTGGTGCGTTGCAGTCTGGAATTGTTCTACTCCAGTGGTATGAGCCAATGCAGAAATTCATGTTAATAAAGGTAAGGATTTACTTGTAGTTTAGTTTAATAATTATACAGTTGTTGAAATAACCTTTCCAGAGTTTGTCATGGAAAGTACGTCCCGGTGGGTTGTGAGCACTTGAAAAATCTCACTTGACACGTTTTGACTCAGAAAACCTTGTGACTGAAGTCATGGAAGTCATTTAAAAGTCATTTAAGTGCTGGATCAAGCCCAGCACTCACAACAGCAGAACATCATCCACCTCTGCCCAGCCTGATGTTCATGCAGTGAAAAATTCTGTGTGTTTATACTTTGTGCATGTTACTGTAGATTTGTTTCACTGTAAAATCAAACTTCCAACTGCCTGATTATGGTTTGGTTTTGGTTTTTTTTCCCCAGCACTTTGATTTCCCCCTGCCAAGCCCCCTGAATGTGTTTGAGATGCTGGTGATCCCGGAGCAGGAGTATCCCATGGTGTGTGTGGCCATCAGCAAGGGCTCGGAGCCAAACCAGGTCGTGCAGTTTGAGACAATCAACCTGAACTCGGCGTCCTCGTGGTTCACGGAGATCGGGGCAGGTGAGGCTGTCTGACCACCTTCCAACCCTTGGATTCTCTGGGAATGTTGGATATGACTCCTCAGGAGTCATTTGGAAAAGCTTTAGGCTTGGCAGCTTCTCTACCCAGAGCAGATCCCAGGTTTTTAGAACCTGAAGGGGAACCTGCAAGAAAGGTGGAGAGGGACTTTGGACAATGGCCTGGAGTAACAGAACAAGGGGGGAATGGGTTCAAACTGACACTGAGCAGGGTTAGATGGGATACTGGGAAGGAATTCTTGGCTGGGAGGGTGAGGAGGTCCTGGCACAGGTTGCCCAGAGAAGCTGTGGCTGCCCCTGGATCCCTGGAAGTGTCCCAGGCCAAGCTGGATGGGCTTGGAGCAACCTGGGCTGGTGGAAGGTGTCCCTGCCCATGGCAGGGGGTTGAAATGAGATGGGCTTTATGGTCACTTCCATTTCCAACACTTCTATAATTCCATGATTTTCTGTGTTCTTATGCTGACCCACCCACCTCAGTATAAACTGTCCTTGTTAAAAAGCTTCCACTTCAGACACACCTTTTGTTTTCTAAATCTCCTTAAACACTAACCAGACCCTGCTGATTGGGTTCTCCTCTGTGGTTCCTGCTCTTTCTCCTCCTTTCCTGTGTAAAGAATCCAGAAATTAATTCTTGTCCATCCTCCAACCCTTGGGGGAGGTTTGTCATCTTCAGCTGGCTTTTAGTAAGCAAGGATTATCTTCACAACCTGGTTGATATTTTGCATCTGCTTTTCTCAGCTGCCCTTGTTAGATATCCTTTTTTACCTTTAAAGCTGTACCAACAACTTCATTAATAAAAACCAGAAAAAAATGCTATGAAATTCTATTAAATTTAGCTTGGTATCAGCACAATAATCTTTCCAGATGTGGATTTATGGGAAAGGAGCATTTTTTTTAGGAGTGAGGATTCCCTTGATGGTTCCTTTTGTTCATTATGGTGCCTCCCTGTGAAGGAAGCTGTGCTGAACTGTAGCATAAAATGTATTTTATCCAGTCAAAGTAGTGCTTTTCTATTAAATACCTGCTTTGAACTGAGGTGTTTGTCCTTCTTCCAGAAAATTCTGGGATCTTGGAGCCTTAAAAATAATTCAGAGTAACAAACAGCACAGTGAAAAGGCTGTAGCTTTGGTGAGAGGAGGCTGAGATCAGTCTTTTATGTGTATAAAATAATCTGCTCTGTTTTTCCTCAGGCAATCAGCAGTTGGATGCCATTCACGTGACACAGCTGGAAAGGGACACTGTCCTGGTCTGCCTGGACAGTGAGTAACAAAATTCTCTTGGAAAACTTCCTACACCTCGTGCAAAACTTGTTTTGCCACAGTTGTCGAGCTGAACTCTACCCACAAGTTAATTTTTCCCCCTTTGTTACTGATCTGTGTGGTGATATTTCCAAAAAGCTACAGTTTGGATAAGTGGGATTTCATTTTGAGTCTTGTAATTCCACTTTCTCTCCTCATATGTGAATCATTCTGTCAGTAGAGTCTAAAAACACAAGTGCACAAAAAATTTTTTTATATTTATTTTGAGAGAAAGATGCTCTTGGGTCCATTTTAGGCAAATACCATAGATGTTAACTTGGGGTATTTCTTTGTGCCTGAAAGATTAAATTAGCATCTCTTACTTGAATCCTTTTCAGCAGTGGGTTTTAATACTTATTTTTCCGTTTCTCTCGAGAATTTGTGAAAATAGTGAATTTACAAGGGAAACTGAAGTCAAGCAAGAAATTGGCCTCTGAGCTGAGCTTTGATTTCTGCATCGAGTCAGTGGGTGAGTGATTTGCTTCTGTCTTGTCTCTTGGGGTTGAAGAACTCACAGGGGTGAGTGTTGAAAAGACTGGCTGGTTTCTGGTCATTTCCATAGAACTGAGAAAAAAATTTGGGGAGGAGAAAGTGTTTTAGTAATACATAAATTTGTGTTAGTCTTCTGAAAGTTGGGATTTTATTTAAAGTGTAGCACAGCCATTTTTTAGTAGCCAGGATCATAATATTTCGGTCTAATTCTTAGAGGACAAACTGCTGTCTTTAAATTATCAGGGGACAAGAGCCTTTGCTTCAAAAACTTGAATTGTGGTTGTCAGACAAGTATTTGTGCTGTAATAAAGTCTTGGAATTATAGAATTAAATCACTCAGAGCTGGGAGTTCTGTGCTCCCTCTGTCCCTGAATGGAAAACTCCTCCCATTTTTCATACATCTATTTTGAAGTAAATATAATAATTCCATTTTGAATATATATATGTATTAAAAATAGTCATATTTTAAAGTCAATGCAATAATTCAAATATGCAGTTGGAATTGTGTTTACACCCTTCCTGGAGTTTTCTCCAGACTCATCAGGGGTACAAAGACCCAGGGAATAGGGTGTGATGTGTGCTTTTCCTTTGCAGTGTGCCTTCAGGACAGCGTGCTGGCCTTCTGGAAACATGGAATGCAGGGCAAGAGCTTTAAGTCAGATGAAGTAAGTGATCTCCTAGTGTCTCCAGGAAGGTTTAATTTATTCCTGTTCCTTATTTACCACTCGATCCTTTGGCTCCTCTCAGTCCTTCCCTACTGGCAATGCTTGTGCTCCAAGATCAATTTATCTGTTTCTCCTGTGGTTTGCACCAAGTTGCATTTGAATTTTATTTTCCTTCCGACTCAGGCCAATAAATTTCATTTTGCCCCTGAAACAGATCTAAACATCTCCATTTTTCTCCAGGTGACCCAGGAGATATCCGATGAAACCAGGGTTTTCCGCTTGCTGGGGTCAGACAGGTAAATCACCCCGAAGAAACAGAAACCTTTTGTTTTATTTAAACCAGCTTTTCTAGTTCCCAGCTGGAACTGGCTCCCAGCCCACCACAGCTCTGTCTGTAGGCAGCAGGTGACAGGGAGAGATGAGAGATGCCCTTGGATGCCTGGAAAAGCCTGCTCCTGGCTTGGATTTTCCTGGTGAACTGTGAATTATCTTGGCAGCTAGTTAGTTAAAAATAATCTCTGCTGATCTTGAAATAGCAGGGCAAACTAGAACACACAGAGATTTTAATCACAGTGGGCTAAATTCAATCATTATCCATAATATCCAGCTGATTCCAGAGGTGGGAAGAGGTGCAGCTGCCTCCAGGTTTGGAACCTGAGCAGCAGCTGCCTCAGTCTCTGGGTTGGACATGTGCACTCGTGGGTTCAGTGCTAAATGTAGGAGTAGATAGGAATGAATCCAGAAATCAGTTCCAGTCACAGAATCCTAGAATGGTTTGGGATGGATCTTAAAGCTCATCTTGTTCCACCTCCCTGCCATGGGCAGGGACACCTTCCACTGGACCAGGTTGTTCCAAGCCCCGTCCAACCTGGCCTTGAACACGTCCTGGTCTTAAATCCCTGATCCTTCTGGCTTTTGAACTGCCAAACCCTTTGGTTGTATTTTCCATCTCTGTTCAGCTGGAGCAGGATTCTTCCTGCCATTCCAGCAATGGGATGTGGTAGCACCTTTCTGCCTTGGATCACTCTAGAACTGGTCAGGTGCAGAGGTGCAGATCAGGGACAGAGGGAGTTAGGAGACTTCATTTGAAAACTCTTGAGGGAAAGAGAAAGTAGAGAGAAGTGTAATCCTAAAAACAACAGGGTATTTTCCTAGGAACTGGTGCAGAGAAATGCTGGCATTTGGGAGGGAGAGGGGAGGGCAAAGGCCCAACCACATCAGCTGATGGTCAAGGTCCAGCATGGGATGGGACAGTGGTCAGTGTGTGCCAAGACTGGGGGAGACTCATTTTCCAGAGCAGCCCACAGGAACACGGTCCAGCAGGACACAGGCAGAGATGGGGTTGAGTGATCCCTGTGAACCCACTGGGGATAAATATTTAGGATGGAGGAGAATTGTTTGGGTTAGTGGCTGATGCTCACCACAAGATGTGGGAGGGATAAACATACTCGGGCAGCAGATGATGGGATCATGGAATCATGGAATGGTTTGGGTTGGAAGGGACCTTAATGATCATCCAGTTCCATGGCAGGGACACCTTCCAGTATATATAACATTGTAGGGATTTTATCAGAAGTGATGCTGCAAAACAAGGGAACTGCTTTAAGGAATGAAACACCCAAGATATTTGGGAGAACCTCCAGGCTGTAGAAACCTGGGAGTTTGCTCCTCACACCACGTGCTTTACCTTTTGCCACCAAATTCCTGGATCCTGTTTGTGTTTTGGTTGCAGAGTGGTTGTGTTGGAGAGCAGGCCCACGGAGAACCCTCAGGCTCACAGCAACCTCTACATCCTGGCTGGACACGAAAACAGTTACTGAGCAACACCCACCCAACCCAAATAACGGAGGGAATTTGCCTCAGGAGGAACAAAGGAGTGTTAGGAAACTGGAACTTGCCGTTTCTTTCCTTGACACCGAAGTCGTGCTGGTTTTTAGGGTGGGAATCAATCCATTTTTGCAGCTGGGAACAGCTGGTTCTGTCTCTTGCCACTGTGTGGTTGGTTATATGGAGTTTGCTTAATAAAAGCTGAGATAAAGAGCCCTTTACTCGTTAGTTGTAGGGAAACAGAGCCTTGAAACATGTTATGCAGTAAAGGTGCCATAAACTGTTAAATATTTTTCTTCCCTTGGATTTTCCTGTTAGTCTGTAGATATAGATCTAGTGCTGGCTGTTGCCCTGTTTTATACTGAGTCTTATTCTTAATAAAACAAAGATTTGTGTAGGAAGTGGAAGTATCTGCAAAGCTTTTTGGTTTGAAATCTGCCATTGGGTATGGCTTTGTATAATAGACTATTTAATCCTTATTTATTAATCTGCTGCTAGGATGGGGTAATGTCTCTAACTTTTAGCAAAGGAAGGTTGCAGAGCAGCTTACTTTTTTTTTTTTTTTTTTTTTTTTTTTTTACAATTGTATAAAGATTTGATTATTCCTTTTCCTTGTAGGGATGTAGTGCATTACTGAAGGGTGTGTTACCATGTCGGGTGATCTTGTAAAAAAAAAAAGAAAAATGCGGTTTTTGTACAACAAAGTATTTTGTACTGATTTTTCTGCCTGCAGAATTGCCATAAAAGGGATTTTTCTTACTTCCTAGAGGTAGGGTGTGTGTACACAAAGTAGAATATTGATATCAGTCTTGTTGCTCCTGGGTGGGTGTGTACAATATCCATGTGTGTGTGTGTGTGCATGTGTGTGAAGTTGACTGGCAGTGTGTATTTTTTATATATATATATTTATATATATATAAAAATGTACAAAATATATATGCTTTATTTTCATAAATTAGGGATAAGCCTTGTGAGGTGACATGGAAATTGCACCTGGTCATAATCCTTAATGAATGAAAGTATCATGTATCCGACTGCCCATGACGTATAGTTTATTTATGCTATTCCAGAGGGGAGCCCATAGGGATAACTGAGGCTGTGCAGCATTCCAGCTGCTGCCAGACACTGGTTTGGGAATGGTTATCTCCCCAGCTGGGTAGTATGAATAAACATGATTAAGAACCAGTATTCTATATCCAAGCTTTGATCACTTTTTCCCTCTTTTGTCACTGGCATTTTTTAACTTTCCCTTTTTCTTCCTCCATTGAAGAGTCACGTCGGTTCCTTTTGTCTTCCTCATTAATTAAAATTCTTGAGGTACCATTAAATATAGACTGACTACAGGAGAGCATCTGGTTTTACTACCTCACATTACCCTGCTGGCTTTGATGTGAACACAGTCCGTGGGCAGGTGCAGTAGCAGCTGATAAACATTTAAATTGAAGGTTGTGGGTTTTTTTTTAATGAAACGCTGCAGCAAACTGCTGCCTGTTCAGCTCCAGAGATCTGCTGCCTAGGAAGGACAGGCTGGAATTCACAGGTTGTTTTAACAGAGCAGTAAAGGTGTGTGACAGCTTGGAGTGGTTTGGGTGCTGGATTGTCTGTGTTGGCATCAGGTTACGTGATCCATAATTTAACATTGGGGGAATTGTCTTGGCTCAGCGATGTTTTCTTGTTGCTGGAGACAGCCAGAGGTTTGTGTTTGGCAGGTCTGGAAGGGAAAACAGCCCTGCACACATTTTAGCCACTGTCATTCAAAACTAAATTCTTGTTGACTTGACATCAAGTCAAGCTTTTCAGTTCTGACACTGTGTCAAAGCTTCAGAAACAGTAAGTGTACAGATAAAACTTTAGAATCACACCACGGATTATGGAAAATGTGGTTTAAGGGTGGTCAGCTGGAATTGGATCAGGGCTATTAAAAGCAGGACATGTAATTTTTAATTCTGTTAAAGAAGTCGAGTTCTCTAGTACTGAAATTACTTCACAGGTAACAGTGACTGGTGATTAACCTCAAATGGTGCAACTGCTGGTCTACAGAGACTTTAAAACAAAAATTAAGACAAAGTGAAGCACCAGGTGTAGATATTGTAGAGCAAACATTTTTTTAATTTACCTCATTCACTGCAGAAGGTAATTTTGGCTTCATCTTTGAAAACACTTAAAGGAGATCTCTAAAAGACTAGAGAAACCTGTAAATAAAATCTGAATATTTATGGGGAATAACTGGAGTAAATAACTCTTAGGTCATGACACTGTCATGCAGAAATAACGAGCTGAAAGTATTTTTCTTTGAATGACACAAATGGCTTTGGTTTGCTGGATCATAATAAACTTAGGAAAGTCCTTGTTTAATCAAATCTTTTTTAGCTGTTGAAGCATTTCTAATGGCATGTTGTGAAATGCTTTATACTGGTTTTACAGACAGTGGCATTTTTGGCATGATCTTCCCAGTGTAAAACCTCACTTGTATTCCTTATCACACAAGGGATTGGTGTGCTCCACAGCCAACCCGGCCAGTCTTGGTGACTCTGATTAGTATAATTTGCATTAGACTGTTTAATTTAGTCTGTTATTGTCTGTATCTTTGTTTTTGTGACATTTCAACCAGGGCTGGGAAAGCCTGGTGTGGGGGGATTTGGGGTTTATGAAGCAAAAACTTGCCCAGCCCCTCGTTCCTCTTCCGGCAGTTATCAAAGTTACTGGATGCACGAGGTCATGTGTCCAACTTGAAAGCCTTAAAACAGGCTCCCAGTGCTCTTGGAAGTACTCTTGGAAGTACAAACACTATGTGAAGAGCAAGCAGCCTGTGGATTAATCTCTTTGGATTTCCTAACCGAATTCCTTGTAACTGAAAAATACACCTGGAATTGTGCTGCCATCTCTTTAAGAGAAGAAAGGTACAATGCATCAGTGAGCCACGGTGTCTCTGGATGAAAAGGACAAGACTGGGAGACTCTGAAATGTGCTTTTTTTTTTTATCTTGTTTAGTCGTTAGGTGTAACTGAGACTCTTAACTGCACTCGTTCAGTTTGTGTAACCAGGCTTTGTTCCACGGGAATTTCTGTTGCAGTTCAGTCTATGCCAAATAAACTGCTTTGTTTGATACGGAGCGGTGGTGTGGTGACTTGCTGGGAACAATACCTTGTCAGAGAGATCTGGGGAGAATCCAGCTGGTCTCCAGGTTTTGTGGCTGTTGTGGGAAGGGCCTGGCGCCGCTCTCCTCCTTCCTCCAGACTGCTGGGAGCCACTGGGCAGCTCCCACGTGCAGCAGGTCAGCAGGAGGTCTGGGAATAGCAGGGGGATGAGAAATAGGAATAGCAGGGGCAAATTCTTCCCAGCCCAGTCACCTGGGATCACCATGGATCCACTGGGGAGCTGTCTGGCTGGAAAAGCAAAGGCTGGCTGCCTTGTGTACCTGTATCCCAGATCTTCAGGGATATGCTGAGGAGGGTTGTAAGTAGTGGAATGAACGTGCCTTTGGACAACATAAAGAACTGCCAGTTACTGGTAAATAAATACACATCCACATTCCTGCTCTGCAGAAGATTGTTATCCCTGTGGGCAAATCTTGGCAGCTGGGAGGTGAGGAGACTACACATCCCTGATGGATGTGGCTTGGGAAGAAAAATAATTAGTGGATCTTTGTCCTGAACAGAGTTGGGAAGCACCTCAAGAAAGGACTGGGGAGGGAGGAGGCACAGGATGGGGCAGGGTGTCCACACTGATCTCCAGATCTAATGTTGGAAGTGGTTATCGCCACAAAAGGCCACTTTCCTCAGGGGATGAGGGGAGAACTGAGGATACAGGGACCCACAACAGGAAAGAGAATGGGAAGGTAAAAGATGGAAATGCTCTATAAAAGGGTCTGGTTGCTGGCAGGAATCCATCAGGTGACAAGCACCCAAGATGCTGGAATGGTGCAGGAGGAAAATGTTCCAGGAAACCTCCAGGTTTTCTGGAGGTTTTCATCCTTTCAGGAAGGAGGTGCAGGTGCTGCTTGAGGCCGGCCAGACCTGTGGAAGGGTGTTCCCACTTTCAACCCTGCAGGGAAATAAGAGTCAAAACCAGAAACCCTCTGGAAAGGCAGAGCGTGGCAAGGACAACACGATCACGGCAGGGGGATTGGGGCTGGATGATCTTTAAGGTCCCTTCCAACCCGAACCATCCTGTGGTTCTGTGATTCCATGACCACGGGGGGCTGAGGGGTCAGCGTGTGGCACCGGGAGAGGCCACAGGGATGCACCCCCCCCACCTCTCTCCCTCCAGGGGTCTGTCCCGGCCGTCCTGGCGTTCCCGGGGCGGTTCCCGAGGGCCGTCCCCGCCGGGGAGACACCCTCGGCCGCCGGGGAGACACCCCCGGCCCGCGGGCCCGCCCCGGCTCCGCCGCCTGAGCGCCGTGAGGGAGCGCGGCGGGGCCGTCCCGCGCCATGGAGCGCTACGAGAAGCTGGGCAAGGTCGGGGAGGGCTCCTACGGCGTCGTCTTCAAGTGCCGCAACAAGGACACGGGGCAGATCGTGGCCATCAAGAAGTTCCTGGAGTCCGAGGAGGACCCGGTGATCAGGAAGATCGCCTTGAGGGAGATCCGCATGCTCAAGGTGGGCGGCTGCGGGGGTCCGGAGCCCCGCTCCCGGCATGGGCTGTGCCCGCCGTGGAGAGACCGGGGCAGGGAGCGGGGGAGCCCTGAGGGAGCTGCCGGGGACGGGTAGTGAGGGGATGGAGTGTGAGGGGGACAAAGCGTCATGAGGGGACAGGGTGTGAGGGGACTGTCAGTGAGGGCAGCCGTGAGGGGACAGGCTGTGAGGGCAGCAATGAGGGGACGGGACTGGCGGGGAGCCGTGAGGCGACGAACTGTCACGATGGGACAGGCTGTGAGGGCAGCCATGAAGGGACAGGGCATCGTGAGGGTACAGAGAGTGGGGGCAGCGCTGAGGGGACTCGGCCATCGTGGGGGGACGGGGCTGGGGGGAGCTCTGAGGAGACAGAGCGTCCTGAGGAACAAGGCGTGAGGGCAGCAACGAGGGGACAGGGCGTCGTGAGGGGACGGGGTGTGAGGGCAGCCATGA